CTCAGCCTTCCAAGTAGCTGGAACTATAGGTGCGCGCTACCACACCCGGCTAATTTTTTTATTTGTTGTAGAGATGAGGTCTCACCAAGTTGCCCAGGCAGGTCACGAACACACGGGCTCAGGCAATTCACTCACCTCAGCCTCCCAAGCTGTGGGGTTACAGGCTGAGCCACCGAGCCCGGCTATGTGGGGCTGTATTATCAGCTGTCCTAGGCTGCATATGATTGGGTTCTACAATAAATCAAAAATTAGATGGGCGTGGTAGCGCACGCCTGTAGTTTCAGCTACTTGGAAAGCTGAGGCGAAAGGATCGCTGGAGCCCAGCAGGTCGAGGCTGCGGTGGCCGGGAGCGGCCACTGCACTCCAGTCTGGGCGGCAGAGTGAGACTCCAACTCAAAAAAAAAAAAAAAAGAATATGCAATTGTGGCACTGTATTAATGAAAATCTGTAGGTGTGCTGTGCTCTCAAAGAGCTAACATTCTTTAAAAAGTGAGATTGTTACCATTTCTATTTATTTTTTCTTTCATTTTTTTGTTTTTTGAGTTGGAGTCTCACTCTGTCACCAGGTTGGAGTGCAGTGGTACTCTCATGGCCACTGCAGCCTCGATCCGCTGGGCTCAAGCGATCTTTCTGCTTAGAACTACAGGCACGCACCACCATGCCTGGCTAATTTTTTGATTTATTGTAGAAATGAGGTCTTACCAAGTTGCCCAGGCTGGTCTTGAACCCCTGAACTAAGGCAATCCTCTCACCTCAACCTCCCAGTGTGCTGGGATTGTAGGTGTGAGCCACAGCACCCAGCATTACCTCAGCCTTCTAAGTAGCTGGAATTACGGGTGGGCACCACCATGCCCAGCTAATTTTTTGGTTAATCGTAGAGACGAAGTCTTGTCATGTTGTCCATGCTAGTCTCAAACCCTGGGCTTAGGCAGTCCGCTGGTTTCTGCCTCCCAAAGTGCTGAAATGATAGGTGTAAGCCAACGCTCCACCTGTTATCTTTCTTTCTTTTTTTTTTTTTTGAGTTGGAGTCTCATTCTGTCACCCACGCTGGAGTGCAGTGGCACACTCATGGCTATCCCAACATCGACCTGCTGGGCTCCGGCAATCCTTCTGCCTAAGCCTTCCAAGTAGCCGGAACTACCAGTGCGCACTACCACGCCTGGCTAATTGACTAATTTTTTGTTTATTGTGGAGATGAGGTCTCACCAAGTTGCCCGGGCTATTCTTGAACCTGCGGGCTCAGGCAATCCACTTGCCTCAGCCTCACAAAGTGCTGGAATTACGCTGAGTCACCGAGACCAGCTATCATTTTTAGATTGTAGCAGCAGTGTTGTTTTTGCTCTAGTTTTATTCTAGAGATGAACTAACTTGAACATTGTTCAAAGTGAAAAGGTTTGCTGTATAGTCAAAATTAGAGGTTCCTGCCTCCCCCATGTCTGACTCTTTTCTGAGAAGAAATTGGATACATTTGATGTAGTTAGGATTTTTCTCTTTTAGTGTAATTGAGAAGCTATTATGCACTTTTCAAGGTTTTAAAAGGAACCCTACTGACCAAATCTGATAGAGAGTGGGCATTATATATTAGGGCTACCATAATGAAATACTACAGGGTGGCTTAAAATTTTTTTACAATTTTGGAGTCTGGAAGCCCAGGTTCAAGGTATTAGCAGGGTGGTGTTTCCTGGGGAGCATCTCCTTGGCTTGCAGGTGGCCACCTTCTCCCATGGCCTCACGTGGCCTTGTTTTCTGTGCCAGTGAACACTCAGTATCTTCTCTTCCTATAAAGATGCCAGTTGCTTTGCTAGGACCTCACCCTCATGACCTCATTTAACTTTAATTATGTCTTTAAAGACTCCATCTCCACCAGGCATGGTAGCTCAAGCCTGTAATCCCAGCACTTTGGGAGGCCGAGGCAAGAAGATTGCCTGAGCCCAGGGGTACGGGACTCACCTGGGCATTTGGTGGGACCTCATCTCTACAATTAATCCAAAAATTACCTGTAGTTCCAGTTACTTGGAAGGCTGAGGAGGAAGGATCGCCTGAGCCCAGCAGGACAAGGCTGCAGTGGCTGCGAGCATACCACTGCACTCCAGCTTGGGTGACAGGGTGAGACTCCGACTCAATAAATAAATAAAAAATAAAGGCTCCATCTTCAAATACAGTCACAGCAAGGATGAGGGCTTTGACATTTTAATTTTGGGGAACATAGTTCAGTCCGTAATATAGTAAAACTGCATGTGAGGAATTGCAATGGCATGATACATGTAAGAGACTAGATAAAAATGAGTGGATACGTCGGGCTCAGTGGCTTAGTCTGTAATCCCGCGCCTTGGGAGGCTGAGGTGAGTGGATTGCCTGAGCCCGCGGGTTCGAGACCCACCTGGGCAACTTGGTGAGACCTCATCTCTACAGTAAATCAAAAAATTAGTGTGGTAGCGCGCGCCTGTAGTTCCGGCTACTTGGAAGGCTGAGGCAGAAGGATTGCCAGAGCCCAGCAGGTCGAGGCTGCAGTGGCCGAGAGCCGCCACTGCAATCCAGTCTGGGCGACAGAGTGAGACTCCAACTCAAAAAAAAAAAAAATGAGTGGATACTTTCGACACTTAGATGTAAAGATCAAAAAATACAGTATATTGCCGGGCTTGGTGGCTCAGCCTGTAATCCCGCGCTTTGTGAGGCTGAGGTGAGTGGATTGCCTGAGCCCGCAGGTTCGAGACCCGCCTGGGCAACTTGGCGAGACCTCATCTGTACAATAAATAAAAATGAGTCAGGCGTGGTAGTGCGCGCCTGTAGTTCCAGCTACTTGGAAGGCTGAGCGGAAGGATCGCGGGAGCCCTGCAAGTTGAGGCTGTGGTGGCTGGGAGTGGCCACTGCACTCCGGTCTGGGCAACTGAGTGAGACTCCAACTCAACAAAAAAAAAGAATATGGTATATACAAGTTTTAGGGAAACAGAGATTAAGGTAGAATACACCATGTTGAGGTATGGGGGAAAATACGATCAACTCTCATACAAGTAATCTTTTGGGGGGGAATTAGAATCTCACTCTGTCGTCCAGACTGGAGTGCAGTGACATGCTCACAGCCACCACAGCCTCGACCTGCTGGGCTCAGGCAATCCTACTGCCTCAGCCTCACAAGTAACTGGAAATACAGGCATGTGCCACCACGCCCGACTGATTTTTTGATTTATTGTAGAGACAAAGTCTCGCCAAGTTGCCTTGGATGTTCTTGAACCCCTGGGCTCAAACAGTCATCTCACCTCAGCCACCCAAAGTGCTGAGATGACAGGTGTGAGTAGCCACCGTGCCTGGCCATCATAGAAGTCATTTGATTAAATCTTCCGAAAACTAGAAGTCCAAGGAACGTTTGTCAGTTTCTGTAATAGCTGCTTAAGTGTATGTCATAATAGGTTGCCAAGGAAGTTGTCATACATTATGAGGGGAGTGAGGTAGTCCCCAGTCCTTACTCTTCGTTCCTTTGAGCATGTTTTATTTTCCAAGCAAGACACCATCATGGGAGACCTCTTTTCTTTATTTTGGGAGGTGGAGCCTTCCTCCGTACCTCTAAATTTTCCCATTTCAGATGAGGATTATGAATGCCGGGAGGACGACTCTTGTGGGACAATAGGGAGCTTCCTACTTTGGTATTTTGTCATCATCTTGGCTCTGATATGCTTCTCTCGGACTTCTGTCTGGGTAGGATATCCTTTCTCATTTTAAATAATATGTGTCCTGTCCTGTATACTAGGAGATTTTCCATAAAATAAATTCACTTTACTTTGATGACTATTTTTTAAAGGTTTGGTTTTTAGCTTTAAAAATAATGCAGTAGACCAGGCATAATGGCTCAAGCCTGTAATCTCAGCACTTGGGGAGGCCGAGATGATGGGATTGCCTGAGCCCGCAGGTTCAAGAACAGCCTGGGTAACTTGGTGGGACCTCGTCTCTACAATAAATCAAAAATTAGCTGGGCATGGTAGCATGTGCCTGTAGTTCCAGCTACTTGGAAGGCTGAGGCAGGATTGCCAGAGCGCAGCGGGTTGACACTGGTGTGGCCGTGAGTGTGCTACTGCTCTCTAGCCTGGGCGAATGAGTGAGACTCCAACTCAAAGAAAAGAAAAATGCAATTTTATTCTAGAGAACACAAGAAAGTAGAAAAAGTCGAAGAAGGCCAGGCACAGAGGCTCACCCCTGTGATCCCAGCTTCTCAGGAGGCTGAGGCAGGAGGATTCCTTGAGTCCAGGGGTTCGAAGCTGCAGTGAGCTATGATCATGCTACTGCACTCCAGTCTTTAAAAAAAAATGGATGGGCCAGGCACAGTGGCTCAAGCCAACAATCCCAGTACTTTGGGAGGCCGAGGCAAGAGGATTGCCTGAGCCTGTGGTTTCGAGATCAACCTAGGCAACATGGTGAGACCTCATCTCTACAATAAATGAAAAATTAGCTGGGCGTGGTAGCGCGCTCCTGTAGTTCCGGCTACTTGTAAGGCTGAGGTGTAAGGACTGCCGGAGCCCAGCAGGTAGAGGCTGCGGTGGCTGGGAGTGTACCACTGCACTCCAGTCTGGGCAATGGAGTGAGACTCCAACTCAAAGAAAAAAGACTCCAACTCAAAGAAAAAAAAAAGGGATGAAGAAGAAAATATAAGACCACCATCACCCTATTTCCCAGAGTTTACCACGGTTAACATTTTATAGTATGTTCTTCCAATTTCTCTGTCTCTACCCCAATACCTCCCTCTGCATCTCTCTATCTTGGATCTTACATGGTTGATGTTATATTGCATATATTTTCATATCCTGCTTTTTAAACTTAATAATATATTTCCCCAATTATTTTCACTCAACAGCATTTCAATGTCTGCATAATTTTCTGCCTTTTGTTTGCACCTTAAAAATTTGGCAATTTTGAAACATTTCGATTGTTTGCAGTTCATCCATATGCTGTGTAATACCCTGATAGACCTCCCTACTGGTTAATGACCTCCAGATTCCTTTTGTAACCACGCCATTCTTTTTGAGTTGGAGTCTCACTCTTGTCGCCCAGGCTAGAGTGCAGTGGCATGCTCACAGCCACCGTAGCCTCTACCTGCTGGACTTAAGCGATCCTTCCACCTCAGCCTTCCAAGTAGCTGGAACTACAGATGCACGCCACCACGTCCAGCTAGTTTTTGTAATTTATTGTAGAGACAAGGTCTCACCAAGTTGCCCAGGCTGGTCTTGAACCAGCAGGCTCAGGCAATCCTCTCGCCTCGGCCTCCCAAAGTGCTGGGATTACAGGTTGAGCCACCATGCCCAGCCTGTAGCCACGTCATTCTAATCAAAGATGTGGACATTGTACTGTTGAGAGGATGCATACTGTAGGATTTGGGGGTTTTCAGAATGAGGCAATACCCTTTCTGCACAGTAACCCAACCAAACAGAACTAAATTCCCATTCTTGACCACTGGAAGAGAATGCCATCCTCTAAGAATGAGACAGCACTCTTAATCATGATGTGATGTCCCCAACATTCTGTCATTTATCAGGAATGTGATGCCCCCAAGAGCACAAGTGACCAAGTTCTTATAATTTGCTGACATGAAATCCTTGCAGGCCATGAATACCAGGCTGACAATTAAGCAAAGGACCATCATTCAGCATGACAGTCAGAACCCTGAGCTGGCAGTGGTCAGTTAGACTTAGTGCTGTGTCAGCTCTGGATGGAAAGGAGGAGGTGTATAGGTCCATGCCAGCTGGATTCCATTACAGTAATCAAAGGCTCTCCCCCGCTCCCCCCTCCTCCCCAGAAGAAGTCTCATCTACTGTCTAAATGCTTCTTGTGGTAAATACTTTGCCAAAAGAAGATTTAGAATAGCGATAGCTTTGTGTGTCTTAGACTTCCCAGCTAAGTATAATGAATTGTCTGACATGGCAAGAAAAACTACTTTAGAAAATTAACAAGAAATTGAGATTGATCACTGGCAATTTCATCACGAAGTCTAAGCTGTCCCTCTGCTCCCTTGCCTGCATTAGCTCTTGGGAGTCTTGAAGCCCTGAGTTTCAAGGCCCTCAAGAGAGCACGCTGTCCAGCTTCCTGTTTGTAGGCCAAGTAAGTTTTCATTATCCCTCACCGCTTTTTTAAATTGATAAGACCCCAGGAAATTAAGTGATTTGTCCAATGTCAGGCAAGTGCTTAGTGACAGAGAGGGAATAAGCCCAGATGTCCTGTCATATCATTTGTTTACTTCAAAGCGTAGTTTGAAATGCTGAATTAAATCTCTTCGGTGCTGATTAAAACCTTAATTATTTTAGAGGTTTCGTCTTTCACTTTCTGTCCCTGTGGCAGCTGCAATCTGCTGGACTGCTTCTCCTGAAGGGTCCCAGACTTGAAATCTGAGAACCATATGGGAGCTAGTCAAAGAGGACAGAATTTTTCCTTCACTTTGAACTTCTTTGTTTTCTGTGCTGAACTGTGAGCCTTTATTTACAGACCTTGAAGCAATGGCAAAAGCTGATGGCAATCTGGGGGTAATTATCCGCCCTCATGAAGCACCCAGTTTCCTCTGGATTGGTCAGTTTCTAAGATGCATTTTACCCCTCTGCTTTCCAAGACTGTAAACGCTGTATTTAGCTTATATGTTTGTTTCGTGTTTATTCATATTACTAGTGCTGTCATTTTTCTGGATGATCCTAGTCCACAATTCTTATTTTGTATATGGGGAGACTTAAGTGGTGTTAAGTGACTTGGAAAAAGCAAGAGTCGGTTAGAGGCAGAAAGACCACGGCCCACATCTTCCCTGCCCCTCAGGGCAGGCGCTTCTGTTTTCACTCCCTAAGTCACACACAAAGGCAGTTCATAAAATACTTTTTGTTACCACAGGTCAGGTGATTCCACTTCCTTTTGATTTTGTGGTTATGCTTTGATTTGACGTCACATGTGGAGGCTTTCTGTGGAAAAGTTATAAGCCTAATAAGTGTTTTTAAACACCCTTCTATCTTCCATTACAAAAGTACACATGACAGAAAATGTGGAAGTTATAAGAAAGTAGATGAAAAAAAAGTAAAAATGACTCCAGATGAGATAGAAATAACCAGCTACTGTTAACTGTTAGGTTTATAAACTTCCAATCTTTAAAAAAAAATTTTTTTTTTTGAGCGAAGTCTCTGTCGCTGAGGCTGGAGTGTAGTGGCACTGTCACTGCTCACTGCAGCCTCGACCTCTTGGGCTCAGGCGATCCTCCTGCCTCAGCCTCCTGAGTAGCTGGGACTAGTGGAATACACCACAAAATCTTCTTTATACATGTGAAATGTAAAACATTTAAGCCCTCACCAAGACTTTTTTTTTTTTTTGAATTGGAGTCTTATTCTGTCGCCCAGGCTGGAGTGCAGTGTCATAATAACAGCCACCCTGGCGTCGACCTGCTGGGTTATGGTGATCCTTCTGCCTCAGCCTTCCAAGTAGCTGGAACTACAGGCGTGCACTACCATGCCTGGCTAATTTTTTATTTTTTATAGAGACGAGGTCTCACCAAGTTGCCCAGGCTGATCTCGAACCCATGGGCTCAGGCAATGCACTCACATCAGCTTCCCAAAGTGCTGGGATTACAGGCTGAGCCACTGAACCCAGCCTCCTGTATGTTCTTTTTTTTTTTTTTTGGAGTTGGAGTCTCACTCTGCCCCGACTGGAGTGCAGTGGCATGCTCCCGGCCATCGCAGCCTCGACCTGCTGGGCTCCGGCGATCCTTCCACCTCAGCCTTCCAAGTAGCTGGAACTACAGGCGCGCACTACCACACCCGGCTAATTTTTTGATTTTATTGTAGAGATGAGGTCTCACCAAATTGCCCAGGCGGGTCTCAAACCCGCGGGCTCAGGCAGTCCACTCACCTCAGCCTCCCAAAGAGCGGGATTACAGGCTGAGCCACCGAGCCTGGCTTCCTGTATGTTCTTTAAAGTCTTTTTTCTTTTTAGCTAACTTGTGATCATGCTATATGATGCTTAACCCAGTATTGTAACGTACCTATTTCCTCACGTGATAACATACTGTTACTTTAATAATTTTTGCAACTATATGTTGTAAAAATTTGCTTAGCCATTATCTGCTTTTGAATTTTGAATTCTATACTCCTAATAACACTGTGATGAATTTGTGCAGAAAGCTTTCTCTCTTTGGGAGGTTATTTCCTGGTGATGGATTCCCAGAGGAAGAATTGTGTGTGGAAGGTATTCATGAAGATCTCCAAGGTTTTGAATACCTTTTGAAAGAGTTGGTTTAGAGTTGTATCTTTCGGTAAAACCATTCTCAGCATTACAAAGTGGGGCACTAATCTGAAAAATGGAACAAGTATAGTTATGCAGTATTGGGCAGAATGTTGAAACTGGAACCGTTCGAAGAGATCAATTTCTTCTAGTTGCCATATTCACAAATAAATATTAGGGTTGCATTTTGGAGGAAACTTTCAGAAGGATGAAGGAAGTATTATGTCTGAAAATTCAGGTAAACACCTTTGCCTATGTAGATACCTCTTACCAGACATCTTACCTACAAAACTACCAATAATGCCACCTGATCAAATGTCCAAACCGGGCGCGGTGGCTCACACCTGTAATCCCAGCACTTTGAGAAGTGGAGGCAAGAGGATTACCTGAGCTCAGGTGTTTGAGACTAGCCTGGGCAACATGGCGAGACCTCGTCCCTACAATAAATAAAAAAATCATCCAGGCATGATGGCACATGCCTATGATTCCAGCTACTGGGAAGACCGAGATAGAAGAATCACTTGAGCCCAGCACGTCGAGGCTGTGGTGGCTAAGCACCTAGCGTGCGTGACAGAGTGAGACTCCAACTAAAAACAAAAACAAAAAACCCCCACTAGCCGGGCTCAGTGGCTCAGCCTGTAATCCCAGCACTTTGGGAAGCTGAGGTGAGTGGATTGCTTGAGCCCACGGGTTCGAGACCCGCCTGGGCAACTTGGCGA